ATGAGTTATGAACATTATAGATGAAATATATACATAGCACCTGAATAAAGTAAACCAAGCTTGTCTAACACTGACTGGAATCATTTAAGAGAACAGGTATTACATTCTCTTTATCAGCATACCCCATGAATTAGTGCATCAAATTCCCTTCTTCTGACAGAATGGACTGGGGTAAGTTACAGGAATTGCTGGATTTGTATTTGATTATATGCTAATGAAAAACAAATGTAAAATGCTTCTTTGCTGCAGATTTTGCATCCTCAACAAAATTGAAAAAAATTAAGTTCTCCCTCAACAACTATTTTCATGGAGCCATTAACAGACTATGATTTTGTATTTCTCATTACGGTAGTGTAAGTCCTTAAAAATTGTGTCTTTTGGTGTTTTTATTACCTGTTAAAGGGACACTATCATTGAAAACTATATATTAACTACTTATTTATTATGGTTGTTTTAATTATTTAAAATCCTGTTTTATCTTTTTGCATTGATTAACCTGCAATCAAATTTGTGATTCCATGTATCTGCATATGAATTAATCTCTGCCATCAGTTGCGTCAGACTGGAAGACATCTGATGTCTAAATACAGTGCATAGTTATTTTTTGTGTAAGGTTTTCTTTAGGGAACCTTCAAATAAACTTTCCTTATCTCCTTACTTTCTCAAAGAGTGTTTTTCATATTTTTCCAGAGATAGCAACTTCTACAAAATCTTTATAACCAGGGACAGTTTGATAAATTGCTTACAAGAGAAAGCAAATTGACTTATTACTTTAATAACAGATAGCAGTGATACACAGTTATTCTTCCTCTGTGTTCATCAAAAATCATTTCATTGTGTTCCTGAAAGATGATTTTGGACACGTGATAGTGCTCACTCTTTCTGTAACAGTTGCTGTGTTGGAATTTATCGAACATGGTGACCAATTTTTGTTTGGTAAAAAGGATGAGGATTCTGTTCATTAAAGGAGAAAATGAAGACTGTAATGTATAATAGATGCGATACATTTAAAACTGACTGATTTTAGAGTACATTTTCAGTATACTTTTATCAGTAGAATCTGCATAGAAATACTGTATTTACTTCTTCGTAATCTAATTTATCCTGGAGTCTCCACTGCTAATTTATCTGTTTCTCTTGTAATTAATGTATTAGATCAGGAATGTGAAGGGGTTCATTTTCACCTCTGCTGATGGCTCCCTCCACCCCAAGCTCTTTAGTTTGGAAGATATTCAAATTCACAATATTATACTACTTATAGATGTCATTGAGCTCCGATACATCACTTTTAGTTTAACAAATGCGATTCATAGCTTATCCAATATTTTTCCATAAACATACAACATGCCTATTTCACAAATGTGCATGTTTTACACCAGGCAACTGTCCTCCTACCTATACAGAGACCTTAAGGGTGGAGGAATCTCTTAAAAGGGTGAAATTAATGTTCAACTGACATAACAGACTGCAATAGAAGAATTGGTTTGTTGCAGTATTGTGGCCAGTGAAGCCATTGGGAAACAAAGCAGGTAAAGGCTATAAAGCAAAGGCAACAATAAATAAACAGACCATTCCAGGGAGACACTAGGTATAGCTAAGGGAAAGGGGTTTTCAAAATAGAAAAATAATCCACAATAAGGTCCTTTTTAATATTCAGTGATAAATGTCATAAAGGGTAAATTAAATTTTAATTGATTTTTTTTCCTTGGGATACAGTGCAAAAACATATTTGGATATATTGGTTTGTATTCCATTAGCAAGGCAGGCTGCTGCTTCTTCTTGCAAGGCAGATTTGTACAAGAAGCAGCAGCTTGTAGGTAATATGATACACACCATTACATGTAACTGTTTTTAATGATAACTCCCCCCCCCCCCCCAAAAAAAATAAAAATACTAAACTTTGGTTTTTAGTGCTTCATTTGTGCCTTCTGGATAAAATTAGTAATGTTTATCTGCACTTAGAGCCCAGTGCTGCCATAAGTGAATTCTCCAATGTAATATATGGCATATGCCATAAGGGGAAACCAGAGGAAATGACAAACCTGTCCCTGGGAACAACTAATGCTAGCCACACACGCAACAATTTTAAGGCAATTTCAACCAGCTTTAAATAGCAAAAAACAACTGCATGGCTAAAAGAAACCTTGCCAACACTTCAGATAATTTCACAGTGTTAATAGAAACTGCTGGTATTTGGTTGCATTCATCTCTTGGTCATTTTTGCATTTGGAAGATTGCTGCATTTACCTCAAATTTGCCATATTTGTGGCCAACATAACTACGTGGTTTCAGGTTTACTTCACAATAGTATTTTAACATAGACACTAAAGTCTCTTCTAGGTGCATACCAGGAAAGGAAAGTCCTTTTGAGTTTGTAGCTTTTTTATAAGCACTAGATAATATGCTGTATGTTGTATTTTTCATGGTGTGTATGGGTTGCAACTTCTAAAAATGCATAAAGAACCCATAATCTAATGATAGTGACCCTTTAAATTGACTCTTTTGCAGATGTTATTAATGAATTTAACTACACAAGTAAGGTACAGCTCCCATTGACAAAGCTCATATGTTTTGGACTGGTAACTTAGTAACCTTTTTATAGCCTGTCAAAGAAAGTAAAACTATATTTGGGGATCCTGCCCTATGCTGTTGTGTAACAAAATTAAATTTAGCATGATCTACTGCAAGGCTGTAGGCAAGACCAAGCAATTGTTCACCTTTTTCTGGGCTTTGAAGGTCCTCCTTAAACTTAAAGGGTTGTTTGATTCTGCCTGTTACTGTGAAAGAGTTCCATTAATCTGTGGAGAAGGACAATCACTGAGTTATGAATATATATCTGACCCAACCAATTCCTGACATCATAGAGTGTCTCTCTACTTGGGCCTTTCTTCAGCCTGGGCATGTGTGCCAGAGGCCCAAGAACTTAAGCTACCTGCTGTAGTGGAAATCTGGAGATAGTTGGATGGAATATTTTTGTTGAGAAGTGTCACAGAAGAGTTGGGTAGACCCGGATTTGGTCTAGGTATTATTGTAAAAAGGATTCATTTCTTTTTTGACTGCTATCAGAGGGTTAAAAACCAAAATAACAGTGCATTAATAAATCTGAAGAAATACATTGACTGCACTTACAGGGTCTAATAGATCTCTCTGGCTATTCTCCCAGGGTCAGCAATTACCGGGAGGCTACTCTCACAGGGGCTTGTTATTACTACTTTCAGAATAGCTGTCCTATTTTTGTGCCCTTTTTAGGTATCCTGCATTCCTAAACCCTAGAATTGAGTTTAGCAAAGGTAAAAAGAATAAAGTGATTAGTGCCCAACTTTTTTTTTTCACCTCACTATATACACAAAGGACCAGACCCTGAGATGGAAATGTTAGCCTGCCACACTATTTGGGGGGTCATTTTGCACCACCCCAAGAGGAGGAGTGCTACATATATAGGTATCTTATTTTTTTTTACTTATTCAAATGAGACTATATTAGTACCTCTTCATAGAGAATAGTGTACAGCTCTTACTAGCTACATTCAGAGTTATAGATGAAGATGGATGAATGAATTGATAACTATTATGATCATTTTCAACAGCATATGCATCAGTTGTGCTTTTTATTATTAGAATTGTTAAAAATCTAACAAAAGATAGAGGTTAACATTCAGTCTTGTCATGAACACAAACAAAAAAAAAATCAAAAACAAAATAAAACTAATAAAAAAAACAGCTTCAAGAATTGATTTGACATGAACATAGAATGACCAAAATGATTGTGGTCCTCAAAATGAATGGGCTATAACAAAGTATTTTTATCAATACACAGGGAAACTTGTGTCATATATATTAAAAAGAGTTCCTGTTGTCAGCACTCAACAGAGGCAGCTGGGCTAGTACCGAAAGTTTATGGGGACTGTGGAATTTTTTTTGCAGATTCTCGTAATATAAGGGCCTTCTACCAGAAAGGCTTGCTAAAGGCACTTACAATTCTTTGCCTTTGTTTTATGCATGCTTGAAGCATTTTCATACTCAGTACACACTTCAAATATGCATACCTCAACATCGGCAAACTCAATAACTTGCTTAGTTACTGCCCATTTAGATCTTTTTAAAAAAAGTGGGTCCTGCAATATGCCTATTTTGCCTTTTATGCTCCACAACAGTTATTTATGAGCCTCAGTATTAGTCACAGGAATATATTCCAAATTTCTACTAGGAAGCAAAGTCTTTCATGGAGGAAAACCTTTCTAAAGAGTAAATATCCCATCACAAAAAATGGCTCTCTATTGAGCTCAGTCAACAGGTACACTTTGTTAAAATTGTCACATGATTTTGAAAGTAAAGAGGGAAAAGATATTCATTTTCAGCAGGACACATCTGGGGTAAAACTAATAAATATTTTCCACACTTACCTACTCTGACCTGCAGTAAGTTATTAGTTTACATACTTTATAATAGGCATAACCATAGCTGACTCTATGACTGCTCTTTTGGCTACTGGCTAACAAGTCTCATCTACCCCAACCAGCGAGTGCATTGTGAGCGCAACACTAGGATTGCAGTCAGAGTGCCAATATGGTATAGCCATATTCTAAAGAGTTGTTCTTGCCATACATAGTCAACTGTACCGAAATAAATTATCCCTTTTCTATGGATAGAACTAACTACAAAATATGTACAGTTTTTAATACATTTTACACTATACTGTTCAAAGGTAAATTGTGAATTCTGCAATAATAGAAAGCATATACTTTTAGTGAAAAGGCTTTTGCTTCAGGACCACCATGTCAACTGCTATATTAAGGGGGCAAAACATAAAATATGTTATATGAGGGTTATTGTGAACTAAGCAATAAGTCCTAATGCCACTGTAGTTACTATAGCAGCATCAATCAAGGCATCATGGTGACCCCGAGCACTATTCTTCCCCAGTTCCATCTTTTGTTCTCTTGGCAGCCATATTTCAGGAAAGCTGTCTTCAGCAAGGCAGAAGCAGGAAAGAAAAATGCATCAAAAGTCTATGTCCCATCCTGAATTGTCATCAGGGGGAGGATCATCATTATCTTCTGGAAAACTGTCAAAATTGCTTGTGTCTGTGGGGGATGCGACCTGCAATAAAAAAACAAAAGACAATGAAGAGCTGTACAAAAAAAAATAAAGGCAACCCATTTTATGTTGATATATACAAATAGAAAATATCATACAAAATCTTTATTTTAAGTTAATATATTGCATATTTCATGAGGTATACATTGCCAAAGGGGTGGTTTTGCTAGAGGTCCACATAACCAAGTCAAGATGGATCGCATTACTATAAAGGCAGACAGTCCTTCTATAGACATGGAGCAATTGTTTACATAGCCTATGTTACTATACAGGCTATATTACCAGAAAGGGCACAAAAAAATTATGTTTAACAGACTTTTATTTGTGTCAGGTGGCTTTTGCATTCTGCAACAAGTTCATGGGAATGCAAAATACGATTGAAACTGGACAAAGGTCAACTGGAGACCCAATGCACCTTTTCAATGAATTCTGAAAAAGCTCAGAATCATTTCAAAGTAAAGTCAACCATACAAGCCCAAAGCCTATGGGCACAGGCCTTAATGCAGATGATATATTACCACATGGCCTGTAACTAGAGCTTATTATTAGAAAACTCTGATAACATTCTATGAACACATATGATATCCCAAACAGTTTGTTTCCAAATATGCATTATCAGAAAGTGTTTTTTCCTGAGGAGACAGGTTACTGTGTGGGCAGTGTTGCCTAAAGCTGGGTACACACTGTTGCCTTTTTTTGTTCAGCAGGCACTGTGAATGCAGAAATCCCCCTCACCAGGATATCGGTTGACTCTCCACTGCCAGAAATCACGGATCAGTGCTGCAGCCAACTGCAAGCCACTGATTGAAGAAGGTTTTCCAGCAGATTTAATTATCTGCTTCTGTCGGACAGGGAGGGCTACACACAGATCAAAATTTGGCTGGTACCTGCTTAACCAGACACATTTTGATCTGTGTCTACCCAGCTTAAGAGGGGCAAGGCTTGGATAGCCACATTACCATGATTACATAGCCTGTCCTGTAGATTCCTCTATTTGCTAATCCGGGGAAGGCACCATTATCAGAAAAACACATTACCAAGGACAATATTAAGAAAGGGACCCACATACTTGGAGAAAAAACAGGTCATTAAGGAACAAATTATTAGTTGGAGCACACTAGGAAAAACACAATCAGTAATATTATAGTTGCTGTTGAACTAAAAACTTCATCAGTCCTCACTAGCCAGAAAATCTATAAGGAGGAGACAGGGCAAGTTGTGTTTTGGGCAAGTAGATGGCAATTTGTTGACGTTAAGGCCTTAAAGTGGTAGTAAACCATTTTTTTTTTTTAATAATAAAGCTTACCTGTAGGTAAAATGAATATCTCCTAAACGTGCACAGTTTAGGAGATATTTGCTCTTTTTGAGAGCCAGAGCATACACGCTGAAAGATTGGCATACCCCCGTGCCATTCCTTCAGAGTACTGTGGCCCTAGACTCCTGCCCACATGCGCGGAAGTGACAACATTGCAGCTCAGCTAGTCGGAAGGCCAGAGTTTGTGAACCCGGATAGAAGACCGGCTGAAGAAGGAAGCCTCTGTAGTGGTGACAGTTCCCTGCTGGAGGGCTTTATTTTAAGGTAAGTCATTCATAATGTGCTAGTTTTTTTACAGGATTCACGACATTGTTTTGGCACGGAAGCAGGTGCCTGATGCAATAAGTGGATATAACTTTTAGTGCAAGCTCCAATTTTACTATACGTGTAGATTTCCAGAAAAAAAACACACACTGGGGTTTATTTACTAAAACTGGAAGGTGCACAATCTGGTGCAGCTCTGAAACCAATCAGCTTCCAGGTTTTTTGTCAAAGCATAAATGAACATGCTAATGTTAGAAGCTGATTGGCTACCATGCACAGCTGCATCAGATTTTGCACACTCCAGTTTAAGTAAATGAACCCCATTGTTGGTAGAACAGATTTGCAAAAACAGTTCTCTGTATGCATCCATAGATTTGTAAAGTAGTTCAAAGCAACAGAAAGTAAGAATGAGAAATAGAACTTACACTTGGTATAATAGGAGGTGTCAATGTACCTTTCCTTAAACCTTCCCAATTAAAGCCTTCAAACCATCTAGAAGACAAAAAAAAGTAATTGTTTTTATCTTAAGATAAACTTACAGTATGTTTATATTTTAAAATGGGTAGCATTAACCTTTTAGATGTAACAAAAGCAAATCAAGACAAAAAACAATATACAAATTGCAGGTATTGTCAACTAGGTGTGCAATGCTAATACTCAAAACGCTCTATTCAGATACAGGGTATCAAAATAACAAAAATATACAGATGTATAAATTCCCAAATTATTAGACAGGGTCTGAGCAGGCTCTGATGGCTAAAATCTCTTTTCAAGATCATAAGTAGAGATGAGCGAATTATTCAAAAATTCGATTCGGCTGATTCGCCGAATTTGCGGGAGAAATTCGATTTGATGCGAATTTATTCGCCGCGAATTTAACTTATTTAAAGGGTTTCTAGGCTTCAGAGAGCCTTTATATTAGTGCAGAACACTGTACCTTTAATTTAAATGCCCTTGGAGTCTGCTGGGGAAGAGAAATAATACTGTCAGTCAGTATGACATGCAGATGAGTGCCGTCGATCTTAGAATCACCGCACACTTCACTCATTTGGGCAGTCACGGGGGGGGGAAGGGTAATAAGAGAAGGGGGGAAGAAGAAGAAGGGGAAGAAGGGGAAGAAGAAGAAGAAGGGGAAGAAGAAGAAGGGGAAGAAGAAGAAGAAGGGGAAGAAGAAGAAGAAGAAGGGGAAGAAAGAAGAAGAAGAAGAAGGGGAAGAAGAAGAAGAAGAAGAAGGGGAAGAAGAAGAAGGAGAAGAAGAAGGGGAAGAAGAAGAAGGAGAAGAAGGGGAAGAAGAAGGAGAAGAAGAAGGGGAAGAAGAAGAAGGGGAAGAAGAAGAAGGGGAAGAGGAAGAAGAAGAGGAAGAGGAAGAAGAAGAAGAATTCCAGTACAGCAAAAAGTGTATCTATTTATTTCCGAATAAAAACATCTGTATCCTAAATGGAAACAAATAGATACAATGTTTCAACCGCTGTAAATGAACTGTCAGAAATAGCGGAGCTCTCTGCAGTGACACTTTTGCCGGCTGATCAGGAAAAATTTGATTCGTGCACCCGAAGTTTGCTAAAATTCGGATTCGATGCGAATCGAATTTTTCCTGAAATTCGAAACGAATTCCACTTCGCCAGGTTCGATTCGCTCATCTCTAATCATAAGTATACAAAAACATTTCCAATGCCTTTTCATTAGTGCAGTAAGTGTTGTGACAGAAGATAAATTGCCAAAAGGCTTCAGCAGTAAGCTCCTTGTGATTATCAGTATCTAATATAACTACTTTCATTGTAATATTTGTAAATTATGCCTACAAACACATACATTGGATTATGTTTGCTTTGAATTGTATATTTTTATGATAAGGCATTTTGGACTTCTAGCAATTGCCAGTGCAAAAAAATGTTCTCTGTGTTACTGGACAGAATCAAAATATTCTGTTGAGAAAAAAAAAAACTTTCTCCAAAAAGGTTACTAGACTAGTAATGGCTCAGGATACATATTTTAGCTCCACCTGTCTTCAATCTGATATCCAATATGTTGTTAACATAGCTCTTTTATTCAAATCAACTTGTAATTTACATTTACTGGCCTGTTAATAAATTCTGAGAAACTTATAAGAGTAATCTCATCTAACCTTTTCTCAGTGTATGTGTGTTCATACATTTACATCATTAAAATGCAATTCTAGTATGTATAAATGCAGTCTGTTTTAATACAGTGTTTGAATAGCATATCATCTTCTGTATTTTCTAAAATTATGTCTTAATGATTTTATATAATTGACATGATATATCTATGTAAAAAAACAAGTCTGAATGTTTAAGGGCTTTGTAAGATTCCAGAAAAATCCATTTTTCCTAGTAGGGTCAGACTAGTCCTGAGATGAAAATCATTTTCCACAGTGCATGTAACTTAACTTGTACAAGTTTGTCAGATAGGAATAATTTTCCAACATATTGTAGACTAGAGTTGTCTTTCTTGGCACTGTGCTTTTAAAATTACACGCTGTCTGCCTTCTTGGGTGTATTAAATAAACCCATGGCCTCTTTACAGATTTTGTGTTTGTTTGTGTGTATATGTATATACAGTCGGGTCCATAAATATTGGGACATCGACACAATTCTAACATTTTTGGCTCTATACACTACCACAATGGATTTGAAATGAAATGAACAAGATGTGCTTTAACTGCAGACTGTCGGCTTTAATTTGAGGGAATTTACATCCAAATCAGGTGAACGGTGTAGAAATTACAACAGTTTGCATATGTGCCTCCCACTTGTTAAGGGACCAAAAGTAATGGGACAAATGGATTCTCAGCTGTTCCATGGCCAGGTGTGTGTTATTCCCTCATTATTCCAATTACAATGAGCAGATAAAAGGTCCAGAGTTCATTTCAAGCGTGCTATTTGCATTTGGAATCTGTTGCTGTCAACTCTCAAGATGAGATCCAAAGAGCTGTCACTATCAGTGAAGCAAGCCATCATTAGGCTGAAAAAACAAAACAAACCCATCAGAGAGATAGCAAAAACCATTAGGCGTGGCCAAAACAACTGTTTGGAACATTCTTAAAAAGAAGGAACGCACCGGTGAGCTCAGCAGCACCAAAAGACCAGGAAGACCATGGAAAACAACTGTGGTGGATGACCGAAGAATTCTTTCCCTGGTGAAGAAAACACCCTTCACAACAGTTGGCCAGATCAAGAACACTCTCCAGGAGGTAGGTGTATGTGTGTCAAAGTCAACAATCAAGAGAAGACTTCGCCAGAGTGAATACAGAGGGTTCACCACAAGATGGAAACCATTGGTGAGCCTCAAAAACAGGAAGGCCAGATTAGAGTTTGCCAGACGACATCTAAAAAAGCCTTCACAGTTCTGGAACAACATCCTATGGACAGATGAGACCAAGATCAACTTGAACCAGAGTGATGGGAAGAGAAGAGTATGGAGAAGGAAAGGAACTGCTCATGATCCTAAGCATACCACCTCATCAGTGAAGCATGGTGGTGGTAGTGTCATGGCGTGGGCATGTATGGCTGCCAATGGAACTGGTTCTCTTGTATTTATTGATGATGTGACTGCTGACAAAAGCAGCAGGATGAATTCTGAAGTGTTTCGGGCAATATTATCTGCTCATATTCAGCCAAATGCTTCACAACTCATTGGACGCCGCTTCACAGTGCAGATGGGCAATGACCCAAAGCATACTGCAAAAGCAACCAAAGAGTTTTTTAAGGGAAAGAAGTGGAATGTTATGCAATGGCCAAGTCAATCACCTGACCTGAATCCGATTGAGCATGCATTTCACTTGCTAAAGACAAAACTGAAGGGAAAATGCCCCAAGAACAAGCAGGAACTGAAGACAGTTGCAGTAGAGGCCTGGCAGAGCATCACCAGGGATGAAACCCAGCGTCTGGTGGTGTCTATGCATTCCAGACTTCAGGCTGTAATTGACTGCAAAGGATTTGCAACCAAGTATTAAAAAGTGAAAGTTTGATTTAGGATTATTATTCTGCCCCATTACTTTTGGTCCCTTAAAAAGTGGGAGGCACATATGCAAACTGTTGTAATTCCTACACCGTTCACCTGATTTGGATGTAAATACCCTCAAATTAAAGCTGACAGTCTGCAGTTAAAGCACATCTTGTTTGTTTTATTTCAAATCCATTGTGGTGGTGTATAGAGCCAAAAATGTTAGAATTGTGTCGATGTCCCAATATTTATGGACCTGACTGTATATATATATGCATACACTTTGGAACACCTGAATCCAATGATTTGGAGGGGTGACCAATCACCTCCATGGACACAGGTGTATAAAATCAAGCACCTAGGCATGCAGACTACTTCTACAAACATTTGTGAAAGAATGGGTCGCTCTCAGGAGCTCAGTGAATTCAAGCATGGTACCGTGATAGGTTGCCAACTTTGTAATAAGTCCATCCGTGAAATTTCCTTGCTGCTAAATACTCCACACGGTCAACTGTTAGTGGTATTATAATACTATGCTTCCACTTTGTTATAATACCACTAACAGTTGACCGTGGAGTATTTAGTAGCAAGGAAATTTCACGGTACCACGCTTGAGTTCACTGATACCCAGATAAGGGTATCTCCACCTTCTACACATACCTCACAAACTTACAATTCACATTACAAACAACTTCCCTAACCAACTGGGAAAAAATCCTATCAGAATGAATAACTTTACAATGTTGGGAAAACGCCTTCAACATTACCTATAAAGCTACCCGATGCAGCTCTCATGGGAGTCATATCTAAAAATACTCCACCAATGGTACCTGACCCCGGTCAAACTTTACCTCTACTACCCGAAACAGTCTCCTACATGCTGGAGACAATGCAGTGAGACAGGCTCAACACTACATATTCTTTGGTCATGTAAATCACTTAGATCCTTCTGGAATACTATCTTCCAATTAATATCTGACATAACCAAAATTTCGATAATCCCAAATCCCTCATTGGCACTCCTACATATTGGGATTGAGAAATTCCCTCTTCACTCCCGAACAATTATTACCCACACACTTTTCGCTGCCAAAATAAACATCGCCAGATTATGGAACACAAATAATATCCCCTCACTTACTTCCCTAATTACAGACCTCAATACCCAATGAGAAATGGAGAAAAAATACGCAATCAACGCCTCCTCTCAACATAAATTCAATCAGCAATGGGCCCAATGGTTAACACACCCAAAATGCTCTGTACAACGCTGATGACATTAAAGCATAAAAAGTTACCTCCTAGACTGGTATATCCTCATTCACCCAGTTCTATCTTCCTCCCCTACTCCCTACCTCCCTCATCTCCCCTACCAATACCCCCCTAACATCCCAGGCTCCTCACCAAGGTCCATCATACACATATGAATACCTCTGATGATATTGCTAAATAAAACCAATACCACCACCGCCACCCAGTAAGCGGAGTAAAAAACAAAAATGCTCAACTATATTACATTGTATTGCAATATTGTATGAATGAACCATATATCATTTCCTTGTTTGTCTCTGAAAAAATTCAATAAATATATTGAAACATAAAACTACTTAGGCCAGACCTTCTCTGCATAGAGCCCTTTCCATTTTTAATAAACCTTTACCATTGAATAATATTTTCATGTGCACCATTTTCCTGATTACTTACTTGTGCTTTTGGATGTCTTTCACTCCATTTTTCAAGTTTCCTAACCTTTCTGACGGATTGTCCCTGGTAATAAAAAAAGGTTTAATTAGCTATAAAAGTAATCTATGTTTGATGAAAATGGATTATAAAGAGCATATACATTAAATTGATATTACCTAAATTTCAAGTAATATTCATTAGTGATGAGCCAAGTCAAACAGGGTTCAGAAAACTTCAAAGAAGTTTGGATGCCAAACCATATTCAAATCAATGGGAGCCAAATCTGTCAAATCAAATATACCCGTTTTCTAGGCTAATAGGCAAGGGGTGTCAAAAAAATAACATGGGGTGATGGAACTTGGTAAACTGGCAATTTGTGTGCAGTTTTGCAGGGATAAAGAGGATTTGATGCCACCCAGCATTCTTACCCATGCAGCTTGAGTAGTTCAGGGTGCTTGTGAAGTCTGTGGGGAAGCAGACAGAAGCCTTAATCCTAAGGGCCATAGCAGTGGTGCTGCAAGACTAAAGGAAGCATCTGTGTTTTTTTTTGTAGTATTGAAAGAGAAATGATGGAAACTCCAGCTTAGGGTAACTATTTTGTGTCAGAACTGAACTTTCTTGGAACAAAAGTGGGAAGGAGGCCCTAAAAATAGATTATTTGGTGACTCCCTGTGTCTTTTATGCTCTACTATTTTAAGCAGTTTCCCACACTACCCAGATAGCAGTGGAGCCTGCTGAGGAAAGGAGATCTGTGATAAATTCCATGAAAACATAACTCCAAGGTTCACCTGGAACCGTCAGAAGAAGGAATAAGCCAGCCAAAGTGGAAATGGGTGACATGGATGGCCTATGCTTGAACATAAACTCTGACATCCCTATAAAGAGATTACCACCAGTAATTATGTTGACATAAATCATAGATACATTGTGCACCAGGATTTCTGGGAAGTTTTTCTTTCTGTGCCCTTCTGAGGAGTTTGGGGCAAAGAGGATATTGAGGGTTAGCTAGAATTCTGCCAGGCACCCCTCATTGAGGTTTATCATTCTTACCATGGTAGTGTAAGAGTGTAGCGTGAACATAATCGTATGCATGGTGTCAGTGTTTGTAATAGCTCTTGTATCTGTGCCAGTTGTAGTGGCAATATCTGTGTATTTCAGGTAGGATTAAAAAAAAAAAGGATTTTATTACTGTGGCGGTGTGTGATGTGTAGCATGCATGCCTTGTCAGTTTGTGTGAGTGCCAGTGTTGAAAAAAAATTACAATTTTTTTTTATAGTTATTAATGTTGTAGTGTGCAGTGGGTAGCACAGTTTCATAATGCAAAGTGTTTATAATCTATGTATGATACCTGAAAATTAGATGGTAATTTATTTGCCACCCTGAAGGCAAAATGTGCATTATTTTTTATGTACCCTACTATGGGTCCAAACAACTAATAAGGCAAACATGTATGGTATTCTCATCCATGGTAACTGAAGGCCCAATTAGCTCTAATAAGCAAAAAGCCTAATTAACCACTTGCTGTCCTGAGGATTTACCCCCCTTCCTGACCAGGTCTCTTTTTGCTATACAGCACTGCACTATTTCAACTGTTAATTGCACGGTCATGCAATTCTGTACCCAAATTAAATTTTGGTATAGATACTGCAATTTACGCAATTTTGTGCTATACAGTGCTGCACTAGTTTAACTGACAATTGCACGGTCATGCAAAACTGTACATAAATGAAATGTATGTCCTTTTTTCACAAAAATAGAGATTTCTTTTGATGGTATTTTATCACCTGTACGCTTTTTATTTTTCACACTATAAACAAAAACAGACCAAAACTTTTGAAAAAAAATATTTTCTTATTTCTGTCATAAAAAATATCCAAACAACTCAAATGCTGTAGCAGAATACATTTTGGCCTAAATTTATGACATGTTTTGGTAGAAAAAATTCCAATAAGTGTATATTGATTGCTTTGTGTAAAAGTTATAGCATCTACAAACTATGGCATAGATAATGGAATTTACACAGCTTTTACATTCTGACTGCTTATCATATTTCGTGAGGTGCTAAAATACCAGGACAGTATAAACACCCCAAAATGACCCCTTTTTTGAAAGTAGACACCCTAAGCTATATTCTGAGAGGCATACTGAGTCCATGGAAGATTTTTTTTTTTCCACAAGTCTTTGGAAAATGACAAAAAATGTTTTTTTTTGTTACACAAAGTTGTCATTTAAATTATATATTGCTCACACTAACCATGGGTATATGTGGAATTATACCCCAAAATACATTCTGCTACTTCTACTGAGTATGAGGATACCACATGTGTGAGACCTTTTGGGAGCCTAACCACATCCAGGAGCCTGAAATCCAATAACCACTTTGAAAGCCTGAAGGTGCGTAACTTCCTCACTTCACTTGCTAACTAGATATCACAGTTTTGGAGTCCCTGAAATGCCAGAATAGCACGAACCCCCCCCCCCCCCCCCCCCCTCTCCAAATGTCCCTTTTTTTTGAACGTAGACACTCCAAGGAATTTAAAAAGAGGGATGGTGAATACTTTGCAGATCTCATTTTTTTCTCACACGGTTTTGAAATATAAAAAAAGGAAATAAAAAATGTGTTTGCTTTCTTTCTTCATTTTCCAAAAACTTGTGGCAACAAATCAGATCTGCAAAATACTCACCATGCTTCTTATCAAATTCCTTGGGGTGTCTGCTTTCCAAAAAGGGGTCATTTGGGGGGTTTGGTGCTATCCTGACATTTCAGTGCCTCCAAAACTGTGATGGGTAGTCAGGAAGTGTAATTGGGAAATAAAGCCCTTTAAATGCCTGAAGGTGCTTATTGGATTTTGGGGTCCTGTACTTGGCTAAACGGCCAAAACGTCTCTCATATGTGGTATCCCTATATTTGGGAGAAGTAGCAGAATGTATTTTGGGGAGTAATTCCACATATTCCCATTGCATGTGTGAGCAGTAAATCATTTAAGTGACAATTTTGTGTAAAAAAAAAAAAAATATATATTTTGTAATTTTTTTTTTACCTGCAAACTGATGTGGATTCGTTCATTTTTTAATAAAAGTTGGTTTGTTTTACCTCTATTATTAATTTTAATTCCAAAGTTGTTAAATCATAGCTAAAGGATTTCTAATGCTCATTCCTCACTTATGTACATACAGATGCAGACTAAAGTCACATACCAGTTAAAAAACATGCCCGTCAACCCTATTGTGAATGAAAACCAGAGTACCCAGAGGCAGCCAATACACAACCATGAAAACCTACATAATTTGTTGCGATAGATTCTATCCACTGTATTGCTAACATTACACCAACTTAGCCATAAGAGGGCAGTGCAATTCTGCAGATCATAGAAAACATTTTTCTACCTGACTATAACATGAAAAGAAAAGTGAGTATTACAAATGTGGTGATGCAATGAATTTGGTATCTGGCATTATTCAACAAATATTTGAGATTTATGTAAACTATCTACAACAGAAGTGCCATAAACAATTTTGTTTCCATACATTTCTAAACTTGTTGACTAGATCACAGTTATAAAAATGAACTCTGATGAACTGCAAGCTGTTTAATCAAGTTATCTATTTAACCGCTTTCCCACCGCTCTATAGCAGAAATACTGCTACAGGGCAGCAGAGGTGCGGAAAATCATGTATATATACGTGATTTTGCATTTCCAGGTAGGGGGGCGCACCACCATTTGCAGCCTTGGCTGTCAGTCACCGGGTCCCAGCTAGTGATTACTCACCAGCACCTGGTGATCGACGAGTATTACCGATGGAAAGAGAACTGTATGTAAACAACACAGTTATCTCCTCTGTCTGTTCCAGCACACTACTATGCAGAGCCACACAAAGCAGTGTGGTTACAGTGGAAAGCATAGACACAGCCTCATAGTAAAACGCACACAGTTAACCCCTTGATCACCCCAGATATTAACCTGTTCCAGCCCAGTGTCATTAGTACAGTGTTAGTGCTTTTTATTAGCACTGATCACTGTATTGGTGTCACTGGGGATGTCAGTGACACCAAATCAGTTCTCCCCAGTGTCAGAATGTCTGTCACAGTCCTGCTATAAATTGCTGATCGCCACCATTACTAGTAAAAAAAAATTCCAGTATATACTGTCATTTGTAAATGCTATACCTGTGACGTAAACCAGTTCATTTACACATATTAGGATTTCATTTTATCAAAGACATGTAGCAGAATACATTTTAGCCTAAATTTATGACAAAATTTGATTTTTAAAATTTTTTTATTGGACATTTGTGGGGAAAAAAGGACAAATTTCATTTGGGTGCAGCGTAGCATGACTGCGCAATTGTCAGTTAAAGTATTGCAGCGCTGTAAAGCAAAAAATGGCCTGGTCAGGAAGGGGGGGGGGGTAAATCCTCTGGAAGGCAAGTGGTTAAGGAGAGCCTGTTGTGGTGTTTGGTTACTATTGTATCTGTTTATATGTGTATACTCATAACTGTAGATAATTCAATATACACACGATCTGCTTCTATCTATCTCTAATTCTTTATAGGAATTGTTGATTGTCCACAAATTCATTGTATTTGCAAAAGGACAGTATGACCAGTGATTGAACCTCTAAAGGTACGAATTCTTGTTTAGCAGGCAAGCCCAGACTGGGACAAAAAATGGGCACAGGCATTTTAGACTGAGCAGCCCATGTATTTTTTTTTTTTTTAAATTAAATTACAAATATTAACTACTGATTTCTAAATGTCTTATGATTATATCAGGCACTGTAATTTATCAATCACTGACTGGTTTCTAGAGGTTACCTCACATCATTACCGCTCATTGATTGGTTGCTAGAGGTTACCTCACATCATTACCGCTCATTGATTGGTTGCTAGAGGTTACTGCACATTATTTCCACTCACTGACTGGTTGCTAGAGGTTACTACACATTGTGGTTTTAAATGTGCTGCCATGCCTCATAAAGCTACACTACAGTGCAGTTCCCTGTGCGGGGTATAATTTCTAGTGCGGGCAGCATGCCATTAGGAAAAATGGCACCCATCTGTGGGTCCGGCGTTTTGTGTGCTGGCGGTTGTAGCTGCAGGATGAAGGGCAGATCATGTAGTGGCTTCCACCTGCACAAGTATTAACCGAGCCTGAAGTCATGGAGCCATGGAGTACCAACAACAACAACAAAAACTGACCTGTTTAGGACAGAGAGCCTGCAACTGTATAAAAGTTCAGTATTGCAGCTCTTTAAACTCTTAGGCCCCTTTCTCATGGGTGTAGTTCATCAGCGGCAGTGAGGGATCTGTCCACTAATCCCAGCTGAGCAAGGGGATAACATGTCAGTGTCAGCTCCACTTGTGCAGAGCAGACACAGACACAGCCCGCATTCCTCTATGGGTAGTCAGATTTAAATGGACCGTCTGTCCATTTACACCCGACTGTCATCTGATTTGATCTTCTAGACGGAAGGAAAACACATCCCCCATCAATTTTTGGTGGATCAATGCAGGCAGGTATAAACAGACACATAGAGGACAATGGAGCATCCAAATAGGTCCGCCTGAAAAATGGACAGGCAGACCTGAACGGAGTGTCCATGTGAAAAGGGCCTTACTATATTGGTGGCAAGGAAAAAAAAGTAAATGACACTCCAAAGAAGTAGAAGATTGTATAACACTTGATTGTATTGAATACCTAAAATGGAAAACATGTTGTAATATTCAACACAATTGACTGCCACCAAGGTGAATTGACTACATATACAAATGGTCTTATTTCCAACAGTAAGAGCACATGTGTGGTGAACAGTGGGAGCCTGGCAGCAGTGACACCTATTCCGCCATCAGGAGATTGGGTCTCCTCCAGCCCCTTTCCCTTCATGTCATGGGGTCAGCTGACCTCTAGTATCTGCTCCCGACGGCCAAGCCGTGAACTGAATGGGCAGCCGCTTGGAGGCCGGGTGAGTGGCACTGGCTCAAGGGGTAGCATAGCTGCTGCAGCTGCTTTGGACCCCACAAAGACACGCAACCCGGCCCCGGCCCACCAGGTAAATGCCCAGTGTGCCCTATGGCCAGTGTGGAACTGTTAGCAGGTGATTACTTCAATCATGCAGATTAACTACTTGCCTATGAGGAACTTTCATCCCCTTCCTGCCCAGGCCAATTTTCAGCTTTCAGCCCTGTTGCACTGTGAATGACAATTGTGCAGTCATGCAACACTGTACCCATATGAAATTATCATTTTTTTAAACAAATAGTGATTTCTTTTGGTGGTTTTTAATCACCACTGGGTTTTTATTTTTGCTAAACAAATGAAAAAAAAACCCAAACATTTAAAAAAAAAAAGTTTTTCTTTTCTGTCATAACATTTTTCAAACAGGCAATTTTTCTGCTTCACTGATGTGTGCTGATGAGGCGGCACTGATAGGTGGCACTGACTGGCAGCACTGATGGCCACTGACTAGCAGCATTGATGGCCACTGTAGTAGGCACTGATGGACACTGTTGGGGCTGCACTGATAATCAGTGCCCTGATTATCAGTGTAGATGTTCCCTTTCACACTTGCCGGTTACTGGCTCTCCTCTTCTTATGTTATAGACGACCTCTCAAAAATTGGACGTCTGCATTGTAGCCATTATTCGGCTATAGCAAAGTCAGCAAATGGTTAAACTGGCAAGACACTAAGGTATGACGTGTTTTAAATGTAGTTTTTAATATGGGAGAGGTGCAGAAATGCTTACCTGCATAGTTTTTTGATTAAATTAGCAGCATTTTTGGTAATCTTCTTTGGAAATTCAATCATGTCGATTCCTCTTAGTATTATGTTATATGTTTTCATAGGGTCTGGACCTGAGAATGGAGGGCTGAAGAAAAATGTATATTGGTAGAATTAATATTAACTAAATTTGTATTTTGTCACAACATTTTGTGCAGTTAGTTATTTTGTACTAAGTAATTTTTAAAATATACCAAATATACCAAATAAAATGGCATCTCACACCACTATGGATGCAGACATGGACTCATTAGTGTCCCAAGGAAAAGAAAAAAAGACCACTATGAAAAAAGCTGCATTCCTTTACCAGAAGTAATAATGACTCTCACTGGATCTAAATTTAATATGTTAGATCACAAAATTTCCATCCCATAAAACACTTAAAATGTGCTTCTTACAATACAAGACACCCTCATCTCAGAGTCCATAATTTCCTTGAAACAAATATCAATGATCATACCTGGGAAGTTTTAATAGTCAGTGAGCCTGGATAGAGTGTAGAGCAAACAGGGGAAATGGAGTGAATCTTTTTAATCATCCAGAGTCTTCAACTGAAATCCAGAGAGTTCCCAGGTATGTCATTGATACATATAACCCATCATGGAATTCTCTGCCAGGAATATCCAGGTCTGAATAAAATTAGTAACTTAATATGCAATATTATAAAAATATACATATTAAAGTGTAATTTCACCTTTTGTAACACGTTACACCCATATATACCCTATATAACCTGTTACGATTGGACCGGCCCTTGCACCCCCCTGATCCCCATTGTGACAGCTAGCAGGGGATCTTCTCCTCCCTGTTTGCTGTCACAATTTGTTTTAAATGTTGCGACGTCACTCATTCACAGTATTCTGTTAATGGGAAAACTACAAGTTCCGACAGCCTTTGCAGCTGTCAGCTTGTAGTAGTTTTAAATGAACTACCATGGTACTCCACAGTGCCGTGGTAGTTCATTGAGCCTTACTGTTAGTATATATCTGCTTGTCCCTATGGGATGTACGAGCATGCAGATATACTGACAGGTCAGAGGGAGACCTGCATGGTACCAGCGATCTGCTGATCGCTAGTGAAATGCGGCTCCAGAAACAAAAAATAATAAATGCATTTTTTTTTTAGCTGCAAAAAAATGTGCATTTTTATTTTTTTTGTTAAAAGATGAACTTATCCTTTAAATTATGTACATTGGGTACATACTTTGTAAACGAACATAAAATGTAAATAAATATCAAGCTTCAAGTAACTAATAAGTGAACATTTAACACTTTGTTGCCTATTTTTGGTGTTTAATAGGTATAAAGTGGATAGTGGAACTCAGGCTAGAAGGGCAATAAAGCATAATGTACAAAGAAATTGATGGTGTCCGATAGTAAGGCCCTAGGCGTATTATGGAAACCCACCCCTTCTTGAGTCGATTTGCCTACTCCAGAAGTGCATTTTATATACAGTATATAATAATATATATATATATATATATAAAAATATATATATGATTCAAATTGGTTGCTTGCAGAAGTGGACCGTATGTACTAATGCACCATGAATACCATGTACTAATGCTTTGCACCATGAATATCATTGCACATTGCTAAGCTTTGGTACACATAAGAAATGTTATGTATTTGTTATAGTTTTTGCGTTAGAGACATATATATTTATAACGGATTTGTATATTGATAGAGCCAAGCCCATTTAGCAACAAACGAAATGGTTATGTTGACACATTAGGTTTTTTTTTTACAAAGTAATACTACAAGTATGCAGTAAAGAAAATGAGTACAGCCTCCTGCCTAAATGATCAGGCCATGTTATTTGGGAACAGCCCTGCTGAATATTAGAGATTTACAGGTTTGGTAAAATCTGAAACTTGTCCAAACAGCAAGTTCAAGCAGTCAGAGCTTCAAGTACTGCATGTAAAGGCATGTATCATGTAACAGATCACCAGAAATTATGGTATTTCCTCATCCATTGAGTGGAAATCTATGTCTAATAAGAGACCTTTCCTAGGCCTCATTCACATGGGTGTATGGATCTGTTCACCTATGCAAAGGACTGTCTTCAGCTGCCTGGGATGCATATGTGTTCTGTGCAGCAGTGAGCAGGCAGCCTGTTTAAATCAATGACAATCAGCTGCCTACATGGACCTGCATGTACCTCTAAACACATCCCAGGGCTCTAATGCACAGATCAGAATGCACTCTGATCCATGCACCAAACCTGCATGCATGTACACTCATACAGGGATGTGCTTGGAGACCTGCCGAGCCATTTGCATGGATGTACACCCATGATGCCTTATTAGAGATAGAATATTTCAGAAATAGGGAAATAAAAAGAAACCTCTTTGAGTATATTGGTGGTATGTTACCTAGCCCAGGGGCGGACTGACCATTTGGAAACTCGGGCACTGCCCGAGGGCCCAGGGTCAGTAGGGGGCCCCATGAGATGCCTCTGGTACCTTTATCATAGGCTTTTTTGAGTTTGGGCAAGGACACAGGGGCTCCATGATCCCCTATTGCCCGGGGCCCATAAGTTGTCAGTCCGCCCCGACCTAGCCCCATACATTTGGATAAATTAGTTCAATTCTTGCACCTCAGTATAATTTATAAACTTTCAGGCTAAGAGAACGGTCAGTGCCCCAGTTAAATAAGCTTTGGTTTCCATTTATGACTGCCAAGTTCTGCTGCTGCCAATGCTATAATCAAAGTGACAAATGCATAAATCTTCCACACTTGGCTCTTCTATTTATGTGGTAGCGATGCTCATACCTGCCAGTCAGGAGTTCATACATTAAGATTCCCAGTGACCAGTAGTCTGCTGAAATGTCATGACCTTTGTTTAAGATGATCTCTGGAGCTACATATTCTGGGGTACCACAAAAAGTCCATGTTTTCTTACCAAAGCCTATTTTTTTTGCAAAGCCAAAGTCAACCTGTGCGGGAAGAAAAGTATCATCAAAGTCCAGAAATTGGCACTATGCTTGTTCCAGGAAAAAAGACATCTGTAATTAATATTTATATAGGCTTTTGCTTTGAAGTGGGCAGAACAATGTCTACATGCAACATCATCACATAGGCAAAACAAAATATTAAAAGCAGAGATTAACAAAATTTTGTTGCTGTAAACTATAACGTATGCCAAAATTATCATGGATGGCTCTGCTTTAAAGTAATTATAAAGCTAAAAATGTTTTTTACCTTAATGCATTTCTTAAAATGTTTTCTATTTTTCTCCCTTCATACAGGGAAGTAGGGAGGATAAAGAGAGGGGAGAATAGATCCAGCACTGTGCATGGCTGCATCTCTTCTTCTTCACACAGCGCTCAAGCCATTGGATCCTGCTGCTGTCAATTAAATGCAGGGAGGAGGAAGTGGGGGGCGGGGTTAAGCCCCACTGTGTAAGTCTGTAGAGCTTGGCTCCATAGACACACAGCTCAGGAGCAAGCAGACATTGTGTGTCTCCAAATTAAAACGGCTTGCTATGGAGACACATTAAGAAGAGGAGGAGCCAAGATCGCCGGCAGGGGGACCCAAGAAGATGAGGATTGGGGCCGCTCTGTGCAATACTACTGCACAGAGCAGGTGAAGATAACATGTTTGTTATTTTATTTAAATAATAAATGTCGACTTTAGTAACACTTTAAGGTACAATGTTGTGACCAGTATGGTTAAAGCTGAATTCAGCCACTTTGATAAATGTGCAGGCATACCCAGGGGCATATTTACAGCAAGGCAAACAAGGTGTTTGCCTTGGGCAGCATTTTTCAGTGGGGTGCCCCCCGACAGTTACACACAGGAGCCATTATATATGCAGGCTTGCTTTCAGCAGTCTCTGCTACATGGGATCCCATCTGCGATAGGAGGGTGGGCGCTGGATCTGCAGGGCGCACACAAGCCGGAGCCGGTAGAGAAGAGAGCTGACCCCCTGGACAAGGAAGGAGCCTCCACTGATAGGTGAGTGCTGCCTGGGAGTGATCGAAGCTGGTCTCTGCCCATTGTCTGTGAGGGGATCTGAGGAGAGTGAAGGGTGCTGGCTGTGGATGGGAGAGGGAGCCTAGCCTGTGGGAGGGGAGCTGTTGGCTGGGGATGCAGGACACATTATTTTTGTTTTGCCTAGGAAAGCACGAAACCTAAATATACCACTGTGCATACCATGAGTTAAGTCCAATGATGTGCATGCAACATCCATGACTTATCGCTATTGTTTACATCTGACAGGTTTATGGCTATCCCAGAGGAGACACTTGGGGCTTTGAGAGGAGAGAGGCACAAACAACAGCTTTGCCTGCCCCTCCCCTCTACTGCCCATTTACAGAAGGCCTTGTATTTTGTGAATAAATTCAAATAATACAAAGGCTTCTGTGATTGGGCAGGAGGAGGGGAGAGGAGGGTATAGAAGCTGCATTGACTCTGCAACTGAAGGAGCTGAGGCCAGAAGGTCCAGCATTCGAGCTCCCGGAGCTACAATATATCTTCTGGGAGCTAAATTAAAGAGATAAGTCCAGAAGGTATCTGCACTTTTTTTTCCATTACAAAGTATCTTAATTCTTGGAGTTCAGCTTTAAATGCAGCATTTCTGTAAAGACATGCAGTACAATTTAGCTTCTTAAAAGTCTTGCAAAATTGTCCTGTACAATCTCTGCAGCTATTTATACAACATATTAGTGTCATTTTTGGGATGCATGTCAGTTGTGTAAGTGTATAACTGATATCTGGAAAATGCTTGGTCTTCATAAAGACACCATGTATAAAATGGTTTCTTTAAATAAAATCTTTTCTTGCATACTACAACAGTTTATGTAACAAGTGAATAATGGTGAAAGAATGTGACACACTATATGTGATAATAGACATTTTACCGCATTGTAAAATGTCTGTCACAGCAGGGACACACAAACAATTGTTTCCTATATGCCTGGTTCGCACTACAACGCAGCCCAGTGCTACACTGCAGTAAAATGCTCACCATGCCGAATTGCACTACAATGTAAGGCAGTGCCCTGAATTGTAATGAATGAAGTGTACAATTGGTACACTTAGCATAAAGTTTATTCAAAACAGAAAAGAGCCATGTGATGCACTGAATCTCTCAACATACTGCCCCCCACCGCAGCCAGCAATGCAGAGAGATCGGAAGCGTTTGATTGCACTGGCTGCTCTGCGTTGCAGCTGAATTGCCCTTAGTGTCTGCCATTTTCAGTGCAAAACTGTGTTCATTTGTGGGCATTATTTTAATACATATGTAACAATTTGCACATAAATATACTGTACTTATTCACTTACATTATTTAAGAGTCATTTTTTACTCACCAACTTTGCATAACCTCGATGGTCCAAAATAAGATTCTCTGGCTTGAGGTCCCTATAAATTATTCCTTTGGAATGCAGATAAGCAAAGGCCTCCACTACACAAGCTGTATAAAACCTTGTTGTAGAATCTTCAAAAGAGCCTCTGAAACAAATGCCACAAATATCATCACTATCCATCCATAGCACCTTTCATTGTATAATAGAAATCACAGTCACACTGTCTAAAAAGACATTTGCATTCAACATGGCTGCTGTTGAATGACCTTAGTGCAGCTTATTCATCTGCCTAAGGTGTAAACACAGTTAAGTACAATGATAAAATGCATGTGCCATGAGCAACGTAAGTGTGCAATGGAAGGATACATTAAAGAGTAGTATGCAGTTTAAACTGCAAGCATGCCATGATATATTTGTCTCTTTCTAGTGACAAGGTTTAAAAATTCTAATTTTCTAGGATTTCCCCAGTTTCTTCCTTTATTCAAATTGTGCTAAATCTCACATTTAATTTTGACACCGTTACCTAACCATTTATGCAAGGAAACAAAGAAGACATGGGGCAATGAACATGACTGAGCCAAATTTATAGATGAAAACACAGATTGTTTCCACTAAATTGTCATGGGAAGATAAAATGCCTTTGTTTAAAGTATTCTCTTTAATATGGATATTGACCAAGTGATATCAAATATTATAATGTACATTTAAAATATAAGCCATGATTCGAATGCTCAGTTTTCTTTCCAGTAGAACTAGGCAAAACATTTTTTTTTTTTTTCATCTTGGATAAAGTAAGGGAGGATTACAACCCCTGTCAGATGCTTTTTTTTCACCATCTGTGTCCCATTGTAGAGTTCTCCCTTCAATTCCTATCCCATAGCCAAACAGTAAGTGAGAGGAAATCCCTGCAAATAAGGGACCCCCAGGTCACCAGAACTAGTGTCCCCATTGAAAGATTTCCCCCCTATTACTTTTCTGGGGACAACTCAAAATTTGGGATTTTCTTTTTACTTTCAATAATAATGGTAAACAGGACAAATAGAAAGGGTGAATCTCCTTAACAGGGACACAGACAGGAATAAAAACGAACAGGTTTTCTAAACCATCTCTATTCTGTCCAAAACAAAAAAAAGGTTTTGCAGTTAATTCAACTTTAAAACGAGTCCTAACTTAACTATGGAAATTTATTTTTTATATGGGGCACACTGGTGGAACACTTGTCCTTACACACAAGAGTTCCCAGCAATACTCTACAAAATATAGCCTTAAAATATGAATATACTATATAAAGACAGATACTTGATACTACTTGAATTCAGTCAAGTGTTCTTTTTGTGCTCTGCCATATCTCTAACTTTATGGAGCTTTTGTGAAATTAGCACTTATAACACATTGGATGTACGTTGATTTTTGTAGCTTACAGTATGCAAGTTTTATGACATCACCATGCAGCATTTTTTATGATATCACTTGCAGAAAAGTACACAGAGTTAATGAAAAGTCACTAACTATATATTACTTGAATATGTACAGTGTTGCAAATAATGTGATGCATTGCTTCCACAGTCCTTGAAACTTATAGATGAATAGGCAAGGTGAGACACAAGGATAAATTAAAAAGAAAATACATAGAAAAATGGAAACACATTGACGGAGTGCTTGTGTATTAACCAGTATGTACACACTGCAGTGGCCAACATTATTTATGCTCTTTAATAATCAATGCTCTTTGGATCAGTTTCAGCCATGGTCATCTTTGTAGGAAGATACCACTACCTACTCATGAATATAAAGTATCAGCCTGCATACATGCTGGTGATAAGACACAATAGGAACAGACATAGCAGAATAAAGTTCATACTTATACACATTTTGAGTTACTCCTGGTGTTGCTTTGCTGTTGAATAGTTGACATACGATAGTAATTGATGGGAAAAAGAGCAAAATGCAGAGAACTGTAATTTCTTCAAACACATGATGCAGAATGACTGTAACACATTGCCATAGCACATCACACTTATTATCCTCCACCAGATCTGACCACAGAGGGGTGCATCTGTTACGTGTGATTGTTTTTACAAGAGCAGAGGGGGGATAAAAAGACTACTGAAATCTAGCATCAAAGTACCAAAGCATCAGAAGATAGTGGAAATTAAATAGGATCTTCCCTGTTAATTACTCTGTGTTTCCTAATGTGTTCTGTTTACCAGTGATAACAGAGAGGACTGTCAAGTATAATTTATCTAATGAGATTAAGCATGTTTAGTAATTTAATACATGTGATACATTCTCTAAAGTGAACCAAGTGAAAGATATGGTAAATATAGGCAAACCAGCTACAACTGTTTTACGTGACCATATGAGTGGTCAAAAAACTAACTGATAGGAAAGTACTTTTTTGCAAATACTTGTGCTAAATTGGAAAGTTTTTCTAGAAACGTATGTACTGTATATAACAAAATACAAGCCTTCAAAGACAGGGTTAAAAAAAAAAAAAATATTAGATAAAAGCCATTTCATCTTTAGTCCTTTTCACACAACACCTAAGTATCATTTTACAGTACATGGATGAGTGGCTACAACTTGAAAGTGAATCTCAATGTCAGGAGCTAGTTAAAGTTTATATCAAGACACAAAAAAACATATGCTGTACATCTTAGCAATACATGCACATTTCCCTGTGTTTTATCTCTTCACAAACTTTGCAAATACAGAAAAATACCTGTTGATTTGCTAGTAATGTACTACTTCTATTAATCTGAATGATCCTGGAGTTTGTAACCTTACTTTGTGAAGATCCCCACACATTTACTTCCTTGAATTCTGTGACATCCGTTCACTATGCCCTGTGAGCAGGGGCAGATTGACCATTTGGAAACTCGGGCACTGTCCGAGGGCCCGGGGTCAGTAGGGGGCCCCATGAGATGCCCCTGGTACCTTTTTCATAGGCTTTTTTGAGTTTGGGCCCCATGATCCCCTATTGCCCAGGGCCCCCATGAGTTGTCAGTCCGCCCCTGCCTGTGAGTAGCTACTGCTGTGTCACAGAATTCACAGAGCCTGCCTTCTGAACTGCAGAGGTGCAGAGAGGAGACGTTCCAGAAGGCAGATTCAGTACAGGGATTACTGATGCAAACAGCAAGGTACCATGGGATATGTAGTCCTTAAAAATGGAAAGTAAACAGCAGAGAAGCTGCCAAGCATGATGGGAATCCAGGTTTTTTGTGGAAAGAGATAGCCAGCAGACAGAAAGCCCTCACAAGATGAAAGGAGGTTAGATTGTCAAATATAACTATTGTTGTGTTGCTATTACAATGCTGATGTTATAAAATGAAAGTGTAGGATGTGAGCATCAAACTCCTTTCAGATAACACAAGAAGTGTGCAGAGGACTGGTCTAAATTTCTGACAAATACAACAGGCTTTTTAAATGTATGTATCAAACAAACGCTTCTGATGATATATTTAGCAGACCAAAAGGGAGCCAAAAAGTTTTTTACATTTTTATATACAGTACACTTTAGGGTGCTGCCTGAATACGCTTTGTTGGTAAATGCAGGATGTTTGCAAACCTTGGATTTCGGAGTGTGCCTCGGAAAAGCAGCATACCTCTACATATATGCAGGACGCACTGAATTGCATGACCTGCCCTGCATGTGTACTATAGCCTATTTTTATACATGTCTGCCATGGCATATGAACACAGGCTGTGTTGACCGCTAACACACACTTCAGGCAATGCAAGGTTTCATGACACATCTGTCTGACGCATCCTTTTGCTCATGTGCAAGCACCATAACCCTCCTCTTGCTATAACAGTGTATGCAGTAATGACTACCCTGAAAAAAGTTTTGTAGTCACTCTACAGCAGTGGGTTGCATTATTTTACATTGGCTACTACTTAGAAAAAATGATTTACTTTATTGGGGTCTGACTTTGTTGTAGAGATCTTGTAATCAATTCATTTATAAAAGACAAAGCAGTGGCAAAATACAAGCTGAACATAAACCAAATCACAAACGTTTGTAAATCTCAGGTAAAGGTAAGTAATATTAATGGATAGCTATGCGTCTGCCAGAAAGTATTGAGCTGTCCAAGGTCTATGGATTGGTGCCTTAAAAACCAAAACTTTACAGTGTCTATTTTCTGAAGCTGCTGGCTTTTTAAATTGACAAGGTCCATGCCCACAGCTCTGAGGTGACATACCTGTCCCTGAGAATAGTCCAAAGCTCTCCACCTAGACAGGCTTCCATAAGCATATATAGATACTTGCTGTCTTTGAATGTTCTGTATAACCTATAAAGAGGATCAATATATTAGCTATGTATCTAAGCAACAAATAATTCATTGAAAGCTTTAATGTAGTTCTTGGTAGCTTTTGGTGTGTAAAACTTGATTATATAGTGGAATCCTCAATGCTACTACATGAAGGGATCAGAAGCAAATGTCTTCATTCATTTAGGATAGGAAATATTTCTGAGACCCACAACAGGTGGTTTACAACAGCAGGCATATTGACGATTATTTAAAGTGCAACTCCAGCCAGTATTTTTTCTCTTTTTTTTTTTTTTTGCTTTTAGAGGTTTTACTTCTTGTCCTCGAAAGATCACTGTGGAGCAGAAATTGAGTAAAGGTGGGCTGTATGTTCGAGTCAAATGTTAGTTCGGCTCAAACATCAGCCATTCGTGTGTTGGGCGAGCACACGAATGGCAAGGGCATTCTGTGGGCCTTTTGCCAGCCTTGTCCCACAATGCACTACGTCCTGACAGCGAATTGTGATTGGCGAAAGCAATTTAATGCTTTGGCCAATCACAACTCATGACGTCACAAGGGGACGTTAGTGACCCTGCCCCCTTCTGACATCATCACACTATTTAAGAACTGTCATCCCGGCGCAGCTGTCAGACAGCAGTAGCCAGCGTCGAGAGTGGAGCAATTATTTTTTAGCTTTTTCAGGTCGGCGGTGGTGACGGGCATTGTGATTGACCTTGGATCTGCTTTGGGGGACTTTTTTTAATTTTTGTTTTTAATAAAGGACTTGTCAAAGACTGTTTCCTGTCATTTTTCCACTACGCTTTTTTTTGTGTGTGAATGGGTAGTGGTGCCATGTACCTCATATACTCATTTACATGGGGGGTGGGATCTGGGGGCCCCTTGTTAAAGAGGGCTTCCAGATTCTGATAAGCCCCCCGCCCGCAGACCCTCACAACCACGGCCTTAGTTGTGGGGAAGAGGTCCTTGTCCCCATCAACATGCAACAAAGCACCTCCCCATGTTGAGGGCATGTGGCCTGGTATTGTTCAGGAGGGGGGTTCTCGCTTGTCCTCCCCCCTTTTCCTAACCTGCTGGTCTGCATCCTTAGATAAGGGTCTAGTATAGATTTTGGGGAGGACTCCACCATTTTTAAAAAAAAGTTGGTGTGGGGATTCCCCTAAAAATAACTTTTTTTTTTTTTTTTTAATGGTTGAACTGAATGGACTTTTGTCTTTTTTTTAGCCAGACTAACTATGTAACTATGTATAATCCATACCAGACCCAAAAGGCTTGGTATGGATGGGGAGTGGGACCCCACACGTTTTTTTTAATTTTTTAATTTTCCTGGCAATTCTAGCGATTCTTTTTACATTCAGCTGTCAGCGGGGAATCCCGCTGACAGCTGAAGCAATACAAAATGTTTTTAGGAGCTGTGCGGTATCTTGCCACACACTCATATGGGGTAATATACTGCTCAGTTAATTACCCCTCTGTTCGAAGTTTAATGTCGAACTTTTGTTATGTTTGAATGTTCGACTGCAAACCGTACTGAGGGGTGTTCGGCCCATTATTACAATTGAGGAAATATCTTGAATGGGGACATAGATAGCAGTAGTAAATCTAAAGTATTCATAGCCCGCAAGACTAATACTTCATCTTATATAAATATATTAGATAAACAAAGGGATACTATAGATAAAGATCTTAGGATATCCACAAGAACAAAAATTAAATAAAGTAATTACATTCTACTGAAAATCCTAATTGAAAAATATTCCGGCCACAAGACAAGCACATACTTAAAGTTGAAATAAAGTCTAAAAATGAAATACCAGCCACGCTGTTTATTTCTCTCTTGGAAGGCTTGTATGTGTAGGGATCTGCTGCCCTCTACTGTTTGTGGTATTTAATAAGCAAAAGCTATTCAGTAGTTCAGAGTTAGCTGGTTACAGACAGGTACTTCTGGCACTGCTAGTTGGGTCAGAAATCCAATTGGAGAACTGTGTTGTTATATAAAGGGGAGTTTCCAGGAAATAAGACGCATAGAACTGGGCTTCATGACCTCACACACACAGAATCTGTAGTAGTTGTTGTATTTCACCCAGACTAGAAGCAGAGATGATTAGGAAAGTATTCTTATATTTTAACAGTTTCACTGCAGCTGCCAATAGCTTCTTGAGTGTGTTTTGGAATCCTTCTGACAGACGTATCACTGTGCTATTGTTATTATCTCACATGCACAGTGCCCGATAGCTAGGTCTGTGCTACTGTATGTGTGTAGTGGTCACCTTCCAGTATATTAGTAGGTGAACCTGTTTATTGCAATATAGTTTATATGCAGATCCTGGTATTTTAGTTAACCTTGTCACTTCTGGTCTGCAAATCTATAGCTAGTTTTAGCATAGGCACAATAATCAGCACAGACTAGAGCCTTATTAGGTATTCAACAGCAACTTCTGTTAGTTATATGTCCAGTTGCATGACAGATTAGAAGCTACTAGGGATTAAGAGGAATACTAGATAGGCAACTGTGTTCCAGTGCCACACCACACTTTCTGCCCATGAGAAACTGTGTTCCAGGTTGGCTGGAGACTCTCCCCATCACACTGATCAGACAATAATAGATAGAGGCTATACCTTTCCTCCCTGTATCTCTAAGAAAAAAAATGAAAAACTGTCTTGATTGAGGCATCTGGAAAAAAAAAAGTTTGTGTTCTGTCCTAATATACCCCAGTTTTTTTTTATATATGAACCACAGTGCTGATTTGTTGTTTAATTTTTTCATACCAACCTTACAATGAAGTCAGAGTGAGCGTTCTGCATGATCTGCTTCTCAGACCGAATGTGCTCCTGTTGCCTTGTATCCACTATGTGTCTCTTTTTAAGGATCTTCATTGCAAATGTTTTTGATTCCTCACTTTTTAGCTGTACCTGAGAAGTTGAATACATATGCCATTACAATGCTGTAAATTATATAAATTTTTGATTCTATACCACAATAGTCTTTCACAGGACTGTGATTCCACAAGATGCAGTAAGAACCAGGCTGTCTATAGAAACTGCAGGGTAAGATTACTGCTATGATGAACTTTAAAGATATCAGCTGAGGGAAAAGTATATTGATTGGGTGATCACCAGATAAGAGCAGCCCCATTCCATGTATTTATTTTAGTTATTTGGCCTCTCCCATCCATATGCACCATAGCCTCATCTCAGGTTATTTCTCTCCTTCATAATCTCACCATCACTGCCCATTTTGCAACTCAATATGTTTCATCACCCTGTCACACATTTAGCATTTTATTACCTGCAGTCTAGTATTTTGCCAATATTCGCACCTTCCCTTCAGTATCCCCACTCTCTAGCTCCCTTGTACGGGAGAGATTGGCACCTTTTTTGGCCATTTAAACACAGAGCCTTAGCACAGCTGGTTGTTGCAGAAACTAGTTGCTGAATACCTCTGTGTTGCTGTGATAACACACTGCCCCCAGTAAGCAGATTCCTCATTTATTCCATTACATGTTCTTCCAGAAATTTCATTGCTCACAGCAATTTCTATTTCCACTTTCAGAATAACAAGTTATTTCTTGAGTCCTCACATTTTGGTCCCAAATCTCCTTAAGGTAAACATAATAACATATTTATTTTTTGGAATACCTTCAGTCTTTTTTAGTATACCAGTTCATTTTTTTACTATCATTTACATCATCATGACCATCATCCATGATTAACACCATATTTATATTGTAATTTGTAGTGCTAGTATTCCATTTACTTCACCATATTTCTAAATGTCAGACACTGTTACAGGCCCCGTGTTGTGCAGTTTTTATAATGAAAGTAACTGCAGTGAATATTTTTTGTACAATTTCGGAATAATGTTCCTTCTGATTTAATCTGCACTAAACATTTTTGTATAATGCCCTTCCATAGGTTTATATGTGTAATGTTCTATAACAGCCCTGATGGAAGGGGTGATGATTGACTTTTGTACATAATTGCTTGAAAATAACTTAATTTCTGACTCAAATAATTTGGAGTGGCACTTCAATTCCAGAGTCAAGTATTGCAATTGCAATCCAACATAATTGTGGCCATATTTCAGTACACAAAAGCTGCCTACCTATCAATTAGATGCCCCACACCATTAGAATAATAGTAATGAATAGTGTCACCCATCATCAACTCAAGGTTCCAGTGCCATTAGTCTGACAGAGGTATTGACATCCCCCTCAAATTCAGGCAAAATAGCAACCTCATTTACTTCAGACATATCTTCAGGACTGATTACCTGTTTTCCCTCCACAGTTCTCAGAACAGAGGAAAGCAATTACACTGTGTGGCAAATTATTAGCGACACCTATGACATTCTTTGAGTTCCCCTAGGTGTCACTGCTGAGAGCACTGCAGTAGTGTAGACTTTGACACTGCCATGTATATAATGTACTTCCGTTTCATCTTTGCCAAGCTTTGCAAAGTCCACGAGACTATCATTGACCAATGTAATGAGACTTCCACAGGCTAATATTGGCTCCGGTTAATGTCCTTCTATGGTAATAGGACATATCTGCCTTTTAGTCTCAGGAACTAAGTGAGCTGCCAAAACTGGCTTGGCAAATAATGACATATGCCTCCCTAGGTCACAATCCATAGGCTTCTGTACTATGGGGACATTTACAGTCACAGGTCCCAGTTCATGGCACTGCCAGTATCTAATATGCCCAGTCTCCCTCAGGGGTGGACTGACCATTCAGAAACTCTGGCACTGTCGAGGGCCGGAGTTAGTAAGGGGCCCCATGAGATGCCCCTGGTACCTTTCATAGGCTTTTCTGGGTGTGATTTGAGTGTGGGCGAGGACACAGGGGCCCCATGACCCCCCTATTGCCCGGGGGCCCCATGAGTTGTCAGTCCGCCCCTGGTCTCCCTTCAGCAAAAGATGTCCTTTAAGCCAGAAGGCCATTCTTATCTGGCACCCACAGGTGCCCCCCTCCTCTCCTTAAGCCTGTTTACATCTATCTAGATAAAAGAACAGGGTTACTGCTTGGAGGACAAATCCTGGAGATAGTCATCAATAGAAGTATGTCACTAGACAAGGGACACCAGGTAATCCAGACTCTGGGGGTCTGTATGCCTAATGTGGTGTTGTATCTCAATAGACAAGACTTTGTGTAATGCTCCACCATCTGAGATAACTCAATCCACCAGTGAGCTTGAATACTTCTGTTGCAACCGCTTGTTTGTAAGGTGGAACAAATCATACATTAGGGACCTTGTGGACTTTTCAGGATCATATTCCCACACAAAAACATGTTGCCCTCAGACGGCCATAGTAACCTTGCGCTAGGACTTCTCCCTTGGGTTCAAGATACTCCTTTGCATCATGTGTTGCAAGTCAAAGTAGGTCTTTAGGGGCTTCCTCATTAAAATGGATTCCAGCACATCTGCCCATTGTTCACCAGGTAGCATCTCATGTTCAGCAACTCTCTCAAAAATGCTAAAGTAGGCATCCTACTTTGAGAAAATGCTCTTCCCCCATGGCCCCCACACCTATCTGGCTCTCTAGTAGGGCCACATATCTGCTGCTCTAGTGTTTTAACACCCTCAAAAAACAACTATAGAGCTGGAGGAAGCTTTGCACATGCCATGGCAAATATAACAAGGCTTGTCAATTTAATAAGCAGCACCACCTTTCAAACTTACCCATTTAATCAGAGGGGCCACTCCCCTATTGCAGTATGTTCGTCCCTTTAGATATTGCCAATTGGCAAAAAAAAGTACATTCAGGATGTGGCAGGATTGCCTCCTGAATGCCTGACAGAGGCTGCATAGATGCCCTCTGAAAGTGATTCGCTGCAGTTTGCTTTTCAGAAGCTGCCAAAGTGTGAACTTAGCTGTATTCAGCAGGCAGTAAAACACCGTTCAATGCAGGAGGGCTTTGTACAGCATGTCTTTAGCATAAAACAAACAAAACATCTGCTTGTCTGAGCAGTAGACAAACTTACAGTATGTCAAAAACAGAGGCAACAGATGTACTTTTTAAGTGTTCTATATACAGTTTTTGAGTAGGAGAGGTACCTTTCAGATTTTTTGTGTGCATCTTTGATCCAGTTGGGTAAATTTTCCCTCAGTTCTTTTCCTTGCAATGTCCATAACTTAAAGCAGAACTAAACCCATCAATTTAACAGTTTAAAAAAATCTACGGCATGCTGGGAATGCTAACTGTCACATTTGCTTGTGTCCCCAACCAAACTCTCAAACCATCACATGTACAGAAGCATGGCAATTGCAGATCAAACAGAGGCTAAGATGGCAGCTTCCTTGGCTGAAAGTGATAGGAGGGTGTAGTTCCACTTTAAATGAAGTATGTGGCTGTCAGCAGGGACAGAAGCTCTTAAACTCCCCAATACTACTAAAAATCTGTTTTTCTCTGTGTCCCAATTGGAGAGATTTCCCATCACCTCCTGGCTTTAAAAATGTCTCTACTAATGTTGGGCTTTAAGGTTACTGTAAATGCCAGCTTCTCCCATAACTAATATGTAAACTTTGTACATTTGCTGGTAAGTTGAATCACTTTTAGATTTCTTTTGTTCCTTGTGAACTCCGCTAGAAAAATATTTTAAACAGATTTCTAGGTCTATTTAACTGCTGTAAGCACCAGAAAGCTGAATGCTGTTATTCATCTCCAATTTTATTATTTGCAGGATGAACAGGGAATTCATTGGAAATCCTTTTATGGTTTTGCAGTATAGATGCAATTTATTGAAGAAAAGTTTCAGCAAGAGGAATCAGTGCACCGCTATTCAGTCAAAGCTAAAATACTGTATCAGCAGACTATAGCTGGCCATACACTGATCACATTTTAGCCAGTTCCCCCTTAAAATTGTACCATAGGTGGCCTTGTTAGCTCCTTACACAACAACATTCACTTCTTTAAAAAAAAATCAATGGTCCAGGTGTAATACTTTCTGCTGAACAGCGAGTGTATGCAAGCAGATGTAGCTGCTGTTCAGGAACTCTGACAGTCGCAGTGGGAGAATCGTGCTTTATGCTGTTAGATTTCCTTTGTTCATCCTGCAGGGTGAACAAGAAAAGATCTAGGTGTGTATGGCCAGTCTGGCTTAAATTTATTTTACTGCATTTTCCCCTCACTCTCCCACCCCATTCAGAATGTTTTGCATTAACATATACAGTAAGGTAACCCATACATTTTCAATAGGCTAAAGCAAAGACTTAGCATTTTGTTTTTCAGGCAGCACAACACAATGCATGCCATATGAAGTGTGGGTGCCTTGTGGATACTGTAACAATGCCTAAGGGTTCTATTCAAAGTTAATGACACTGCAGTTAGCATGTTACTGCAACCCATACATATGAATGGGCTAGAAACGGGCGGACTGACAACTCATGGGGCCCCCGGGCAATAGGGGATCATGGGGCTCGTGTCCTTGTCCAAAAAAGCCTATGAAAGGTACCAGGGACATCTCATGGGGTCCCCTACTGACCCCGGGCCCGCGGGCAGTGCCCGAGTTCCCCAATGGTCAGTCCGCCCCTATCTAGAAACATACCTTTTTATTTTGTTGTTTTTTCCTTATGTTACTTACATGCTATTTACATTGAAATCAATGGAAGCACAAAAAATGCATATTGGCACATGGAATCGTGCATCAACGCATGCTGCCATAAATGCTTGCCAATGTATGCTGAAGCACATGAATGCACAATGACTATGTGTTTTGATGCTTATCCATTAATTTCAATGGAAAACACATCAGGTGAAATTGCTAAGGTGTGTTCCCAGACTCATTATTTTACAGCGGTAACCTTTTCCTTTGGGATAATAGTAAGTGAATACTGGTGGAAGTTAAGAAGCCCTGGGTTGCTTGTATTTGGACAGCAGGCACACTTTCTTTGTGTTTGGAAGACGGAGAATA